CCTGAGATGGTATTTCTTTGGTTTGACTGCCCCTGTGGCAGAAGGCAAAACAGAAACAGTAATTTAGGCTACAGTATTCTCTGCAGGATGGAAAAGATTTACACTGGGCAGAGAGCTGTCTCTAGTCAAAAATCTGTCCTATACTAATGAGTGACAAAACCCCAAAAACTCTGATTAATGCAAACCTGAATGATTTTATCCAAAGCAAAACATTACTGAAGTCATTACCTGCCAAATTTACATTTCAATTTACAGAGGCATTACTTTAGGACCATAATAATGAGTTCACACTGGGCCTCAGCTGATCAAATTTTATCTTAATTATTTACTTGGGACAGGCTGGAACTTTAAGGTTTGAATGATAGAACCAAGCTGTGATAAGACAGGAGAGCACTGCCAGTTCTGAGGATCTGAGCAGAAGTGCCACAGCTGCCACCTTCCCTCTGAAAAGGAGTTGCATCAGTGATGGCAAAAAAAGCATAAAAATTCTCAGCAGAATCTTTACGTGCAAGATTTCCACATGGGTTTTAGGAGTGATATAGAAAGCTCTATTTTTTTTATATAAATAGAAATATAGAAGAGAGTTTTCTGCCTAAAAGTTTCCACAAAGAGAGGTGATGGCTGCAGTTCAGAGATCCCAAGCTAGGCACCTGCTGGAGGGAGGTTAAAGCCAGTCTTTCATTAGACAGTGAAAATTCTGGATTTATCCTGACATGTGCAGTTACAGTGCTGCTGGGGGAGCTGGATCCGAGCACTGCCTGCCTTTTTTCTTCACTCTAGCACAGTGCCTTCATTGATAAAACTGGAGGGCCCCAGATGAATAAATCATATTATTAGTAGATTTAATATCATCTTAATAGCAATTAGCACCCCCTTTTTATATCCTCCTGAAACAGAAAATGGCCTAATAGTCAGCTGTCACTGAGGTTGTGCTAAATGCCTGAATTATAACATAATATACATTTCAAGATTTGTTTATTTGAGGAAAAGCTTTGATGAGTTTAGGGGCAGGGCTCTGTTTATGTTTGAAATAATTATTTACAAACTCTGAAACACACAAATATTAAAAAATCCCTTTGTAGCTTTTAGAAATAACTGAAGGACAGTCCAGCAGGGTGTACCTCAAGGAAATAATTCCTATGGGGGAAGATATCCATCCTAATAGTGTTTAATCAGGAAAACCAGGGCAAGAGGGCAAGGTAAGATTATTCTGCTTTATGTAATTTTTTTATTTTTTAAAAATCTGGTTTACCAAGAGACAGTAATTTCATTTTAAAGGATCAGAAGTTCAGTGAGAGGAGTACACTTCCAAGTGTTTAATAGAAGTTTAAAAAGTAGGTGAAACTCTTAGCTTATTCAAAGTGTCTGTAGGAAATCAACAGAGAAATGTCTGTGTTGGACTTCAATTTGTTCTGAAGGTACAGAGGCTACCAAAATGCTTGGGAGATGTCCTCACAGTGGCCAGGAAGCAGAGATCTGGTGCAAGCAGAGAGCAAGGCTGGGTTTTGTTTCCTGCTACACCTGGCCCTGTTCCCAGGGAGGGGCTGGATGGGGTCTGGTGGTCCCTGCACACCTCACTGAGAGCCTGTGCTCTCAGTTTTGTCTGCTGAATTAAAAGCTGCTGTTTCCTTTGACATGAGGATATGAATCAGAAGTTCTGTCTTGGATCTTTCACAGATATTCTTATCCATGACAACCTTAGCTTGCACAACAGTGTGGACTGTTCTCAAGGAGATAGGTCAACCTGATAAAAATCGGATTATTTCCTCCAGATAGACCTGCATTAAGCAGTAAGTGATGCCATTTCTGTTCTGCTGAAACCTTCCCATATCTCTTTTTCTTTTCCATGTAAGCCCTAAAAACAGATCCCTTTTTTCCAGTATTAATTTCTCAGTTTGCTCTGGGCCACGACAAACAAATATCTTGCTTTGCCACTGTATTCAGGGAGAGCCATTTGTATTAAAACACACTTTCTGAATGCTAAAACTCTTGGACTCCTATCATAGAAGAGGTAGATTCATGTCTACAGCAGTGGGTTAGAGAACCAATTGGTTGTGAAAGAAAAGGACTGAATGACACTAGAACAAAGCAGAGTAAGATGAAGTTATTACTTCAAGGAATTTTGAAAAGGATTGCAAGGAGTGTTGCCAGAGCCACAAAACACCTTTTTCACTGGCTTCTCACTCAGATCCTCAGCTATGTCACTTGGGCTCTCACAGATATAAAAGCCTGTCTATACCTATTCCCTACCTCATTTTGGATGACAAGAGGGCTCTGATTCAAGTATGATCTACTCAGGAACAAGAAAATTAGAACAGTCCTGCCTGTAAAGAATTTGTTCTTCCATGAAAGAGTTTCTTACCAGATTCAACCCAATAATTTATTCTCAAGGGTCTGGCTAGCCATGCGTGAAATACTTGTTAATTACAGAAACATGGGATGGTTTGAGTTGGAAGAGACCAAAAAGATTATCTCATTCCAAACCCCTGCCATGGGCAGGGACACCTTCCACTAGACCAGCTTGCTCAGAGACCCATCCAACCTGGCCTTGAACACTCCCAAGGATGGGGAGTCTGCATCCCTGGACAACCTCTTCCAGTGCCCCACCACTCTCACAGTAAAGAATTTTTTCCTAATATCTAATCTACACCTTCACTCTGTCAATCTGAAGCCATTCCACCTGTCCTGTGATTACATCCCCTTGTAAATCTCCATACTTCTTGGAGGTTCCCTTCAGATACCAAATCAGGTCTCCCTGAAGCCTTCTCTTTTCCAGAAAGGTCTTAGACTATTGTCTTGGTCTGAATTCATATGAACATGAATTGCGTATCTCAAGTCCCTAAGAAATCTAATCAGATGACATGAGAAATCCTCAGAACTGCCCTAATTGTTACCACAGTTCTCTATCTTTCTGCAAAAAAAAATGGGAAAAGTCCTCTTATGGAATGTGTAGTGCCATTTTCAGCCAGCAAGTTACAGCATCTCCCTCTTGTCCTCCCCAAAGCTGGGGCAGCTTTGCCCAAGGTGCACAGCACGTCTTACCCAGATGCTCTGTGATGCCAGTGCCTTCTGCCAGAAAAGCACATGCAAGCAACCAGAAAATCACTGCTTGTCTAAGTGTAGCTGTGACTGTCATGCTGATGAAAACTGGGCTTGAAAGTATTTCAGATGCAAAGCAAATAAAGAGATAGGTTACAATTTCATTTCAGATCTCCATTCTTTGTGTGAGATGCTGTACACGTGCTCTGTGAACTTAGAATCTGCTGTACCGTGAACAGCTTACACACAACAACATAACATTTTACACAACAACAGAAAATAATTTGACAAGCCTCTATTATTTCTCACCCACCCCTCCCCCTGATTTTTGTGCTGTTTTGTGCTATTTAGAGTCACCAGAGGAAGCAGTCACATTTTCTCTTCCCACACCAGAGCTCTACTTCCTTCTAAACTGAAGATACCTGAGCTGTATCTCCCCCTGCTCCTCAAAACTTTTCTCAATAGAACAAATTTAAAATATATACGTGCAGGCTTGTGAATATTTTCTTCCTTATTATCCTTTTTCTGAAAATTCCCATCCCCAATGAAAAAAAAAAGATCTCGAGTTATTTGTGGAGTTGCAAAAAAAACCTAGCAAACATTGGATTACTACTTCTTAGTAACAACCAACAACAAATACAAGCAATGAATATATTTTATGACATTGCTGCTCTTGCATTCATCTTGGGAGCATTAGAATATATACATGAAATCTGCAGTCATGTCTTCATGTGAAGAAGTAATTTGTGGCCTAGAGGAGCATGTGAAAGTGATTAATAAGATCCAGATCTGCTTAAACTTCATCAGAAGAAACTGCAAATATTTAGTACAGTTTAATCTCTCACTTTCTGGGTACACATATGCATTGGTCATTATGGTGGATTAGGATGGAGTTTTACTTTCAGTTATTCCAAACATGGATTTTTTTACTCTTTATGTAGTATAAAGGATTTAATTTTTTTTATAAAAGCAGTAATGTTTAACATTAAAATGATTTGGGAAGAAATATGTCAGTTTATTTTTGGGGAAACTGTTAGCAACTTGTACATTCTTTGACAACTACGTGCAAAGAAAAAGCCTTTAGAGGCTATTCATTTTCTCACTTATTCCACTTTGGTCAAATGGTACAAAAGGGCTTTGGCTCAGCTTCAGCCATAAACTCTAAAAACAACTATTGTTTCTGTCTAAATGTAATAACGCCCTTCCAAAGGACTATTACTACTTTGTTCTGTTTCCTCAGTTCTGCCTCCCGCATAATTCACTCACCTAATTCCTATTTACAGCAGCTTTTGCAGGGTGGAATCCCATCTTCCTGCTGCACATAAACCCTGTGAACTGGGGTTTGCTGAGGATGAAAAGCAGAACATGAAAACTCTCACAAAAAGAACACCTCAGTTAAACAGCTTTTTTTTTTCCTCCAGTATTTAAGTGAACCACTGATCCCTCCTTATATAAACACTTGAGAAATAACAGGAAAGATCTTTCCCTGTACACAGCACGCTCTCCCTGAGCACAGCTTTATCAGACCTTGCTGATAACGTGCACGAACACCCTGCTGCTGCCACACAGTCAGTGAGCCCAATGCCACCCAGCCAAGACACCAGTTCTCTCTTAGAAACCTGTCAAAGGCAGGGCACTCCAGCACTGCTGAGGCTGCTGGCCCCTCTCTCTGCCCCCTCCAGCACACACAAACACACCATTGCAAGGCACAAAGAGTCAGAGCATCCCCCCTGACCCTCATTCAGAGGGGACTGCAGTTACTCCAGCTGCCTGAGGGAGACCACCGAGGAAAAGCAAGCACCACCAACAGCACTAAACTGGAATTGAGATGTTAGCAGTGGGAAACTCTCCTGCAGGATCCAGGGCAGAGCATTCAGAGCTGAGGAACGTCATCAGGAAAGTTAACAGGGATTGACATCTTCCACAAGGAAAACACTAAGTATAGCCCCTTCACAAACCAGTAAAAAGTAAATTTAACTGTATTGTTGCCTAAAGTGCATCATTTTTTCATGGCAGCCAGCAGTTCACAGGTTTCTTTGTCTTGTACATATCTTATGTGTTGTAAAAACCACAAGGCCATAACACTGCACTCATTGGTTGGCTTTCTGGAAAGGCAAAAGGGTGAAAGCAAGGCTGATCTGCTTGTCCCATCCCACCAGCACGAAGAACCCCACCTCCTAACCAAAATCCCTACAGCCCCAGGCTCCTCTGAAGCCCTGAGAGGGTGGAATTGTCTTCAGGCCGCAGGTGTCCAGCATGTACACCAGCCAGAGAAACCCAGCAGGAATAAAAGCACAGGGGCCCACAGTGATGAATTACCCAGAGATGGCAGGGATGGCTGCACTGCTGCCCTGAGTGAAAGCGTGCTGTTCTACAGAGTCCTGCTCTTTTCCTCAGAGCCAGCTTAGGCATCTCCACGTGGACTTTTTCACTGCTGTGTAGGCACAGCAGAGTGTCAGAGGAAGTCTGGATGTCCCTGGCTGGTGCCCTCCTGTGTGATTTCAAGCAGAACAGTGGTGCAGCCACACCAGGGAGTGCTCTCCACTCAGAGAAAAAGCAGTTTGTGGGCAGAAGTGCTTTCTCAAAAGTCTTGCTTCCCCCTCTGCTCCTCACTCCGAAGATCTTCCACAGGAGATTTTGGTGTGCAGCAGAAGTGGTCTTCTAATAACCAATTTTCTTCAGTTTCATTTCACTGGCTGGTGAATATCAAACCACTCAGCTCAGGAATACAACTGTGACTTTTCCTTTTGGGCTGTCTTCCAAGTTTTTTGCTGTATAGTAAATGGTGAAGGTAGTGGGCCAATAAAGTCAGATGTTAAATGAGGCTTAAGGGTTGTCTTGTCATCATGGTGAGTTATTATCTTTAAACAAGTTTCATTATTGCCATCACTTCCTGGGGGTATGCTGGGAAAGAAAAGGAGTATTGGTAATAATGACCTGCCATTGCTTTTGTTTTCTTTCTTGTCTACTGCATGTGAACATAACTCCTGACCATGACATTTCTTAAAGAGATCCCATTCATTTATGAACATCCCTGGTGACAGACCCAAAGGATCAAAAAAATTTCTTCTTCCCCTTGGCTACAACAGAAAGAGGTAACAGGGGAAATCTACAGCTAATGACATCTACAGGAAATTAGATTTTAGAGATGTACAGGATTATTTTTCTTTCTCTAGTTGTAGAAAATGTGGCACTTTAACAACAGAAGAAGCAGAGGGTTCACACTACCAAATTTTACAGATGTCAACAGAAATTTGAACTCTCTGTTCTGCCCTGTTTTCTCATAGTTATACATAGGGTGGAGGGAGGGGATCTCATTTCCCCAGGACTGATATTGAAGATTTGCTTCATCCTGTCACCAATTAATGGTGCAATGTCTTCAAACAGGCTGGACCATCAGTGTGGACACTGGGGCCAGGTTTAGTTCAAGCCTATCAAGAGGCAAAGGGCTCCTGAACTCTCTGTGTTTTATTACCTGCCTTAATATACCACTAACATTTATAAGTTGAAACCATTTTATAGCAGCACATTTTTGGTAATAGTGAAATTGTCGAAGAGGTCCTAATGGTGATTCCCTTTTTCAGAGAGAGGAAGCTGTCTGCTTGCTACTTTAGCCATTTTACAAATTCCCAGTGTCAAATGTAACAGCTTGCATTGCTTTTAAAAGAGGCAGACTAGGGCATTAAACATATACAAGTGCTGGAATGGTTAAGAGGGCTTATGAGAACATACTTCAGATGTCCCTGTTTATTTTAAATTGAAAGTCATTATTCATAGCTATGAAAAGGGGGGAAAAAAAAGGATTATCCCGTTGTGTTATAATCCCTATTCAAGGATTTAACACATAGAAGTTCACAGGGGGAAATTTATGCCTCTCATCATTTAGACAGGAGTAAGAATTGTGGGAGCAGTGAGTATAAAACAGCACAGTTTAGAGGGTTCAGGATTTATGGGTTTCATCAGATAACAGAAAATGGGAAGGAGAAATCAAGTGATGTCACAGGAAAACCAGTGTTCACAGAGCAGAGGCTAAAATACACATTAGAGGGGCATAGATCACATGATGGGAAGCATGTATAAATATATCATTCCCTTATATAAAACATTCTAGTGTTTTGTCTTTACCTCTGACACTTCAATGGATTTCTATTAACTCACAGCTAATTGGCTGACAGCCCTGTGCTTTATATTTTGTGCCTACCATTACAGTAGCTATGAATTATGACAACTAACCATAGCCTATGTCATATCATATCACTTTGGTCTGACATAAAAATCATAATTTATTTTTTTTCCCTGTTTCCACATCCATGGCATATATATATATATTTTATTTGTACTTGGCCCTTCACAGCTGGCAAGCAAGTTCAGTGGCACTTGACTCTTATTCTGTGGTTAATTCCTCCAGTGAAAGGCTCGTTGGCTTTGCTGTAACAGAGCCTTTCCTGGTGATGTTCTAGCTCAAGTCCTGGATGAACAGTAAAATATATAAATGAGACTAAATGACACTGAGGTTAAAAGCCAGATCTTAAGTTACAGTTGTAAACACAGAGGCAGGAGGTGTGCACCTCTTAGGGCTTTTCAAAAGTTCTCTTTTATGGTGACCTAACTTCTCATACACAATGGTTTCTAAATGTAGTAGTAACTGTGAGACATTTTTAAATTGCAGTGTTCATATAATCAGACTCAGCAGAAGATACCCACAAGATCTGCAGATGATTATGATTCCATGATTCCAGACCCTCATTTTCAAACAGCTTTTTGGAAGAACAGAGGACCACATGAATCCACGAGGGTACAAACTTTGTCAAACTGGGCCTGCCATTGAGAATCTCTAAAATATCTTTTTCCACAGCTTCTTCCAGAGCTGTTGTAAAAACATACCTTCTCTGTTCTCCACCCAAAAGAAGAGTTCTCAAGGGACATATCTGCACCATCCCTGCATGCTGACTGCTGAGAAGGGACCCAGGGTGCTGTCACAGCCAAGCTGGCAAACATGCTGCTGTCTGGGTGTCTTCACACAGCTGCTTGCAGCACTATGGCAGAAGAACTAAAATAAAGAAGCCTGTTACAAAGAGCAAACTTCTGCTTTTATCCTGCATACCCGCCACACAAATCTTTTGGCACAAATCACTAAAAAAACTGCCTACGTTATTCTGCACGGTATCTAAATCTCTTTGTACAGCAGCCCTGACAAATTAGAAAAGGAAAATTCATGTGATCTACTGAGCTTGAACCCTGAACACATCAATCCCAGGCTTGGAACATCAGCAGGACAATGTCACCTGCAGCTGGACTTTATCCTTCCTTACAAAGGCAGACCAACAGGAGCAGAGGCCTTTTGCTTTGCCCATGAATACTCTCCTAACCCACAAGTTATGTGTCACAGCTTCCCTACACGTGCTGCTGCGTGGCACCTCATATACACTTAAACAGAATACATGGAATTTGACTATAGTGGTAATCTGACTTGCAGAATACTGTCTGTCACAGAGGAAAAAGAAAATGTTTGTCATTGCTGTGTGGGAATCAGACTATGCTGACTTTTTAATGCCTTCTTTTTCAACTTGTTCTAAAAAACAAGTGTACAAAAAAAACCCCTCAAAACAGTATTCCTGTGTTAAACACAGCTGTGATGCTTTCCCCCAGTGCTTGCAAGGTAGTATTTAAATTGCAAAGAATGATAGACATTATTGTGAAGGAAATATACAGAGAAACATAAAGGCTTCCTTGCCTACATTTTATTTCTTACCCACCATAATAATAATAAAATAATAATAATAATAAAAAAAACCTTTCACCTTCAAACCAGACAGATAAATGCATGCAACTGCAGCCTGAAAGCAGCTTAATCATACAACAACAACTGCTCTGCATCTTTGAGTTTGGAAATCATTGTCTTTTCACCTAGATATGCACACAATGGTTTGTACATATATAGTGCTCTTGAGCAAGTTTTTCATCATGCACCTTTCCTTTGGAAAAGGCTGTCCAAAGCTCTATATTTAGCCATCACAAACATGCTAGTCTTAATCTTCTTGGCATAAATCTAGAAGGCTGTCATCTCCTGAGAATCAGCTGGGATTCTGTCTCAATATTTTTTCAAGCGATAAAGCAAAACTCTGGCGTCTTATCTAGTGTTGAACTAACAGAGTGTTAGTCACATGGGGAGAAGACTTTAAACATTCATTAATGTTTTAAAAAAGGGTCATGAAATGCAGTCAAATAACTGTGCCCGAGGTTAATTTGTGTTTTCACAACTATATACAGCAGGATGACTCGATAGGTTGTCTTCACATTCTGGCTGTGAGAACAAATCTTGTGCTTCAGTTTGAAAACCAAGTGTTAGAGAAGGACTAAAGCATGCAGGCAAAATGCAGCATTGAGTTCTTCAAGCACCCAATCAGCATCACTCTCTCTGAAATAACAAAAATGCAATATTTTATACAAATTTTCTGTATTTACTGTTATATTGTAATTTCTGTTGTAACGTTGCAAGAAAAGAACGGATTCTCAGTTGACTTAGAAACTGGCATAGATTCCTTGAGACAAAAATTCCAGAGAGTTTAGCAGTGTAACACCTACATGACAGCTGACATGCTCCTTGATTTCCTGGGTATTTCCTAGATAACCCTTCTCCAGGTCACAAAGAGCATTACAGCCACCTCAGCAGCTTTTCACAGGCACCAGAAGTGCTCTCTTTGCTGGGGCATGCCACTGTTGTCTGGGCACACCTCAAACCAGGAGCTGCTACAAAGCACAACCAGCCCTGGCAAATCCCAGTTACCAGAGCCTAAAATCCGTGTGAGAAAGCTGTTTTTCTTAAAACACACAATTCACACAGAGTTTAGTGAGGACATTTGTTTCTCAGAGAAAGAAATCTTCTTCAGTTTATCTTAAACTTTATCCTGCTCCACTCCAGACATACCTGAAATGGTGCCTAAAGCTCAAACTGGCCCTGAAGACAACACCAAACTCTGTCAGCACTGTGGCAGGTGCTCAGTAAGGCAATGTACTTTTAGTAGACCCCTTTACATGAAATACTCATTTTCTTTTCCTTACAGACATTTTCCAATTCTTTGATGCTTTTTTTTTTTTTTTTAAGGAATCTCAGATTTAGGAGAATATAATCCTTTTAAGTACATCACCAAAGAACTATGACACAATAATTTATATGGAACATTAAGCAATAGAGAACTTATAATGGGAACTTCTATTTCTTTTGTCATCTGTTCTGTGAAGCTGGAAGACAGTAATTTTAAAAACCCATGAAGGTAAATATGTCACTACTCAAAGAATAATAATCCTACGAGATCTTATGGATTGAGTATTATTGAGACAAAAAATCAGCCCAATTCTTTAAAAGGGAACAGATGTTTATTTCAATGACAAGAACTTCTAGAGATGCTATAAAAAAAACCTGAAAAGTAAAGTTTTGGGAAGTATTTAATGCATTGTATGATAAGATACAGTACTCACAAGTATAAGTGGCAGAAAGACAGATTTCCTGTGAAAACAATTATCACAGTGTTTCTCATATCTTCTCCTAAAGTAACCAGCACTGGCCACTGGAAGAGGAAGATATTAAATTAGATTGATTTCTGTTCTGCTTTAGCACAGCAATTTCTTCATTCCATCTCCCTCACCCTTCTCAGCAGTGAGGATTTAACTCAAAAACCATCGTGTTTGCAATGGTAAGCAGTAAAGCTCCTGTTCCCCCTAGCTAAAGGATGCCACAATTTTGTCAGGGAAGTACACAAACAAACTTTGAGTTTCATGAAAAGCACTTTAAAAATAATATTAAGATATTTATATTGAGAATGACAGATACTAGGGCGGTTGGACTTATTTTTAATTTTCTGATTTGTCATATGATTAGCAGCTCATGTAGACTCTATATTTGTCTGTGTTATTTTTTGGGAATTCAAACTTTATCCTTCATATCCCAGGATTTCTAAAAACTGTACAGCAGCCTGATAAACTGGACTGGGGCACAGAGTTTATTGCTGCTGATTATTCTCCACTCTCACCTGGGCCATGTGAATGCATGGACAGCAGGAGGATGTGGCACAAGAGCAGCAGTGCTCTGCTAGGGATGGGGAGGGACAGGACTGTGCCTTTCCATGGCAGCTTTTCACAGTGGTGGATCATGGATCAGGTATTACCTATGTCTCTTGGTCATGTTTAGTCAAGTGTCTGCTCCCATGGATCTCTAGGTGAAAAGCCAGATGCATTTACCACTGATGGACAAAAACATGAGTGCTACGTGCTGCCTGGTCAGCACATTATCCCAGTAAGAGCTGGAAAACTCCAAAGACTGTGGCCAAAACAGGGAAGAAAACTGACAAAAATGGATCCAGGTAACAAAAGTTACCTTCCATCCTCTCTCCCAGCCATGCACAAGATACCTGCCCACCTCTGGATGCCTTTAATCCCAGTTCCAGCTGCGCAGCCACAGCTGTGGGAGCTGTACAGGGCCTGCTGGGTGACACCACATCCCATGGGCAAGTTCACAGCATGGAAAAACTGTCACATCACACTTGATCCTGGTCCTGCAGGAAAATCCCTTGAAATATTGGGTAAAAACAACATTTTCTTCCCCACAGTTTTGATTCACAGGTCTCATTTCTCAGGACAAGGATTTGAAAGCAAATTTTTTTTTTTTGTTCACAAAACCACAATAAAAATTTGCCACTTGGACAAAATAAACATCCCTCTTACTTCTGCACCCTCGCATACCATTACAACTCAGGGTTATAACAATCAGACCTCAAACTATTAGAAATTTCTTCAACCCTGTATCCCCTTGGGGCTTCTTTTATATGAACCCTTTGTGTGGTTGGGTTCAGCAGCTGAAACAGCTGAAATCACTCAGGCCATAGAGAATAATATTTTCATTTTAATCTTTCAAAAGGTCAGTAAAGCTGAACAGGAGTAAATTACATTGCTAAAAATGCATTGTCTGTCAACACAGCACACCTTCCCAACAGCTGCTTTCCTCAGTTCTGCTATCTATTCAGTGCAAGAATTTTGCTGGGTGGGACATAATAGGCTTATTTTTATTTAGACAATATTTCAGAATTTGTGGGAAGCAATGGTAACTCTTTTGAAAGGGAGACTTCTCCCTTCCTTCAATAATACATAAATATTTTTATTTACAGTAATTCTAGTAAAATGCCTGATTTCTGTCCTGCCTCACTGCCAAATGACAATCAACAGCCCCAAGCAAATTACTACTATGGGAAAATCTGTGCAATCAGAACAGAATGGAAACTGAGACTGGCTGCTAGTCCAGTCTGCTCTTAAGCACCTGAGCAGCAGCAGCAGAGGTTGAACCCACAAACCCACATTTTGCAGGAGGTGTTTTCACTGCAAACAGCTGCCCAGCACAGCTCTCGGCACCGACCCCGCAGTGCAGGGTTTGGTGTTTGTTTGAGCTGCCCTCAAAGGCTGCAGGGCAAGCAGGCAGCAAAAAGGGCACCTCTGCCCTGCTCCCCTTCCCCATCCACAGTCCATCCCTCCTCTCACTGAGCCTGAGGAAGAGACAATCCCAGTTTAGCTGGCTGATCTGGTAGGACACTATCCCTGGCAAAATCCACAGCAGCTGCCCACTAGAGCAGCAAACTGCAGCAATCCCTGGGGCTGCAGGCAAGGGGCAGCAGCAGCTGGAGCACCCCTGCCAAGTCAGCTCCTGTCAGAGACACAAAGCTGCCCACAGGAAACACAAGGCACCTGCTTTCTGTCCAGTCCCAAGCACACAGCAGCATGCTGCAGCCCAGCCTCAAGTGATTTTCAACAATCCTGCACTGTTGTTAACTGGAGATAAAATGATGCAGCTACACTGCCTGGCAGAATATCTCTTGCCCCTCCCTGTGCATAGTCGCAATGAAGAAAACCTTAAAATAGAAGTATTGGTTGTTTTTTTTTAATATTTGTTATGAGACTCTCTAATACAAACAATGTTTTGTCAGTTTATACTAAGTATGATGGCAACAAGGGCTTCTTCTGTCCTGGAGACTCAGCATAAAGCTATTAAATGTCATCAGTAATGAAAATCAGAGAACTTTTGTTTACCAGTTAAGATCAACACTTGTTAAGGCAGATATTTCTGTATGAAAGCAGCTGTGAAGTTATGTTCTAAAGAAGTTTTTGTTTTGACAGATCTCTATCTGATGATATATTGGTATATAAGAGAATTTCTAGGCTGTTTCATACAAATATACCTTGCCAAGGTATGCAGTAACTTAAACTTTTAAAGAAAACTAAGAAGCTATCTATACTGAAACCTGGAATTATAAAGTTTGTAAGGTTTGTCTACATTCATGCAAAGCTGTACAAAAAAGTGCACAAAGAGGTTTGAAAAAGGCCTTCAAAAGTTGACATGTGAAACTTGTCCTCAGATTTATACTGCCATTGCCATATAATTCAGCTGCAATGTCATGCATACAAATGCATTTGCTAATTAGCAACTTCTTTTTCTCCCTAAGCCACTGGCTTAAAAGCTGGTACATCCTTTAGACACGAGCAAATGAGGTGATTCATATTCCCACGGAAAAGTGTCTTTGCATTTGTAATGTCACAGAAGTAGCTCTGCTCTCCTGCTGCTTCTGCAATGTAAAAGAGTTTAAACCCTCAGTTTGAAAACATCACTGTGTCTTCTGTTGTTACAGAAATTACTTGAATAAGTAGAAACTACAGAAAAACAAAGAATTCTTCTGTGAGCCTTTCACTCATCTGTTACCATGCTACCTGAAACATGATTCAATGACCATTGAATCAGTATTTTAGATTTTTCTGGACAATGCACCTTCTCATAATTGCTAGAAGCAGCAATAGGTGTGACTCATCTGTGCTGAGCTCACATCCCCCAGGACAGGGCACACAACACTTGTAGGACAATTTAACTTGAGGACTTGGACAGGAGGGGAGAAGCATCCTGAGACCCCAGAGAACCCCAGGAGTGATTCCAGCTGAACAGCCTCACCTTCAGTCCTAGCAGGGATTTTGCCTCCTATCCCAGTTTTTAATAGTGTTTGTGGGCATATTTAGTTTCTACTGTGCATCTGAAGAGACACGCATATTTCAGGCTAAATAAGTGGCTAAACTACTTAGTGATAAGCAAGGCCAAATGGAGTATCTAATTAGCACCTAAAGAAGTGAAACTTTCTCATTTAAGAGCTAAAATTGAAAGGAACATTTAAAAATGGATCCTTTCCTAGCTAGAAATATTTTTATGACATTCTATATTTTGTATTACACACTAGGAATTTACATTGTCATCAAAGATATGTGTAGACTGCCTAGATAAAAGTCCTTTTCTGTGCATGTATTTATTCTGTACAGTAAATTAAGTTAATCTACTTGTCAGGTGCTATGCATTACAGAGTAAATGCTTTTAAAACAGGGAAATGTTTGGGTGGATTTGTATATTTGTTCTCTAAAGTTTTTAGTGCTTGAGAAAATGTGACTTGAAGAATTACATTAGAATATCACTAATCTAATGCTCACATAAATAACATTCCATAAATTGATGTTGTCACAAGTAACCTTCCTATCTCTCTGGTTTTCTAAGAAAAACCCCCCTGACATTTTCTTGTGCTGCTTCCTAACAAACAGCAGTGAGCCAGCACAGCAGCACGGTGAGCAGGAGCTAAAACAACTCCTCTGTCATCAAAAACAGTAATTGTGAGAAACCTCTCTAATTCTCATGGCAACGAGATTCTTATAACCAAAACAAGCAAGTTCAGCAGTGGGAAAGTGAAGTTTAGGGAAGGACTTTGCTTGGAAGGTGGGTCAGTGCAGGGAAAGGCCCTGTTCCCCAGCAGTGCTCAGCAAGGGCAGCACAAACGCAGTGAAATTTGTGTTTATGTTTGATTTGCTGCACTGACAGGCTGCAGAAAGAGCCCATTGACAGCTATCCTTTGAAAGCTTATGTTTTCACTTTGAACTAAATAACAAAAAGGCTCCAGAAAGTTTTCTTCAGAATTCCTTAGGACTACAAAGTCAAAAGAAAAATACAGGGTTTTTTTGTTGTTGTTTTTGTTTTTTTAAAGTTTGCCAAGAATTTCCACTTACATGTACTATTTAGTCTTATCTGTTGAGTAAAATAATAAGACCCTCTTGAAAGATTTTTTTTTCCACTAGTGCTAGAACACTTCAACATTTAATAATTTTAAAATCACGATTCACAATAGTTCACAGAATTACTTGAAATTAATAACACTACCCGCTGGTGAATTAGTGCTGTTAAATTAAAAACTGTGCCATGCCAGCCCTAGAAACCTGCCTCCTGCCTACATGGGAGCAGATAAGGAATTACTTCATTTAATCTAATTACAGTGCTGTAAAAGAAAAGAGAAATGAGTTCTAAATATTGCTAAAAATGCTCTAAGTCTCCATTCTCTGATAGATGGAGACATAACAGGAAACTGTGTTTTTATTATCTCAGATGTAACTTGCTTATTCTCCTTTCCTTGAGCCACAGTAAGATAGCTCAGTTCGTTTCTGAGATGTATTTATTAGAAAATTGCACCTACACCATTCTAATGTTTTAGAATAACTG